GACCCGCTCGCGCCTCTCTTTGGGGGGCGATGGCCGCGCACGGCGTTTGACGCGGGTCGCGCAGGTCGCCCCGGCACCTGCGCGCCCGCAGCCGCCGCGACATGGATGCACGAGCTTGCCAGGGCGTGATGGCGCGCGGCTGTCCAGCCCCAGCATAGCTGGATGTGTCTTTTCGACGCATTGGCGCCCCTCTTCGCGCTGCTCAGGCTTGCCCTATCTGTGGTTGCCCAGGGACCGACCAGAGTTCCGCGGCCGACCCCCCCATGGCCAGAGCGGCCCCCGACGCCGATTGTAATCGTGCGGCGGGGCCAGACGATGGGGGCCGCCGACGGCTGGCGCCGCGCCGATCTGGGAATGCCGCGGTCGGCCGCTGCCGCACTTCGCAGCGCTGCCGCGCCCGCTCGAGGGCCTCGGTGTAGCTGAGCACGTCAAAAGACCTGGACAGAGGTTCGCGCGAGGCTTGCAGGCAAAGCCCGCGGCGGGCGGCTTGTCGCACGCCTATCTCGCCGCCGCTGCCAGAAGAGCCGCTGGCGCCATGGTGGAGTGCGTTGACCTTGAGCAACGCGCGATCACGCCTGCAGGTTGGCCCCCCCGCTTCTGGGAGAGGCGTGCGAGGATTGGATATAGATTTGCGCCGGGTGCGTCGCGGGGATGCTGGGCGCGCCCCGGCACCCGCCGCCCCGAGTGCCGCGGCGGGCGCGCTGCGCGTGGCCAGGCAGGAGTTCGCCCGCCAATGGTGTTTGCAGGCCGCGAGCGACAGTCTGGGCGCGCGCGAGGAGACCGCCGGACTTCCAGTCGCCGACGCCGCGCACAGCATGCGACCCGCTCGTTCTACGAGAGCAACAGCGCCGAGCAGCCTGCGATGGGCCTGGCCAAGGCCCCGTAACTTCCACTGCGTTCGGGGCTGCCGGCAAAGGACGTGCTGCCGACGACCGAGGCGACCTCGCGGGGCAAAGGCCGCCGCGGGACCGCAGCACAGGTGGCACAAGGCCCTCTACTTTCCTGCGGACCACCGAGGTGGTGACACTCCCCCAGTGGCATTTGACGTGACTCGGACTCGTCTGCCCTTGCCAGCGCTGTAAAATGGGCGCACTTACCGCCAACCTAGGTGTTAGTTGATGAGGCCACGCTCGTCAGCTTCAGACCATCTATGTTTGCCCTGCTTCCGCTCGACCATTCCATTCTGTCCGCGTCCATATTTGATTTACGAGTCCCGGCCGGGCAATTCACGAATGCGTTTCGCTATCATCAGCTCAACCTCGCGCCGTCCAGTTGGAGGAGACGCGAGGCCATTTCCATCGCCCAGCCTTTACGGGTAAGAACGCCACGCCTGACTGGGGGCCGACGGAGGGATCGGAGACGTCACGACATGACTCGTGATGGCCAAAGGCCAGCAGGCTCCAGTGCGGATGCAACTACCTTCAACCACTTCGCAAACCAATAATGCCTGGGCCAGCTTGTAGCATACGGTACAATTGAAGGGGTTCGACTTGAACGAGCGGTAGACCAGAGATGTAGTCGTGGAAAGGATCTTCAACGGGTGCGGCTCCTTGGCTTTGTCTAGCTTTACCAGCGCCTGACATTATCCGGGCCGCTGGCGGCCTCGCTTTGGTCCCGGGGTTCCCCTCAGTTCCCTCGTGGCCCCATACGGGCTCGCGCTCGGTCCTCGGGGGTCTCCCGTGTCGCTGCGGCTGGCTGGCGCTGGCGGAGGTGGCTGAGCGGGGGGGGGAGTCCAAGTCCAACGGGGTCTCGGCCACCCCCGCCAGTGGGCCATCGGGGACTAGCTCTGACGAGCCTCTGGTGGAGCCACGGAAAAAACGAAACAAAGGTCGGGGTTTTAAACAGATCGTCATGTTATACCAGCTCTGTTTGGCGGTTTCGTCCTCCTGTCTTCGCATTCGCCGTTCATGCCGCCTCACAGTGAGCTCCGCGCACCCAGCGGCAAGTATCCCATGGAAGGACCCCCACACAAGGGTCCGACTACTTCGGCCTCGTCTAGCCTTACCAGCGCCTGTAACCCTTAGGGCTGTTGTCGGCCTCTCTTTGGTTCCGCGGTTCTGGTGGCCCCATAGGGGCTCGCGTTCGGTCCTCGGGGGTCTCAGGTTTTGCTGGGGCTGGCTGGCGCTGGCGTAGGTGGCTGAGCGAGGGGTGGTGGGTCCAAAGGGTTTCGGCCACCCCCGTCGCTCGGCCTTCGGGGCCGATCTCTGACGAGCCTCTAGTGGAGCGGCGGAACGATTTAAGAGCATGTCGAGGGTAGAAACGTTGATGTTTCTTTGGATTGGGATCCTTGGGGGGTTTCGTGGCGAACTTGGGTCCGTGTTGGAAGTTGTATGGATCCATTTTGAGGTTTTTTGATCCACTTTGGAGGCAAGCCTGGGCTTTCTGAGGCCTTTTTGGGGCCATCGTGGACGATCTTGGACGCTTCAATCGGTCGCCCACCCCGTCGTCCAGACCCAGGGGAGGGTGTGTATGTGTGTGTGAGTAGGGGGGGAAGGCTCAGCTAACCCAAGCCGCAAGCCGTGTCGGTCACTCCCACCCGCCCACCCACTGTATACATAAGTAGCCCTTGTCATGCGGCAAGTGGCCGCCATCGACAACCATCGAAACCAATGCAGGCGACAGTCAGGTGCGCGATGACCGCGAGGTGTTCCGCACGTGCCATGTGCGCCACGCGCACCAGGTGCGCCACATTGGGCAATATGTTGACCGCCCCACAACCCCTGTCGAAAACCAATCGAGATGACAGCGGTTGTGCGAGCATTGAGTCTTGTGTATTTGTGTGTGCCCGAAATCACGTCGCACCGGTTTGTGACAGAGGTCGTAGACCTGCGCGCAGCAGAGAGTATGCCGCCCCAGCCACCGTTCCTGGCCAAGTGAAATTTGTATGTCTTGTTGGCAAGGATCGTGCGCCCATACACAGCAAGCAATATTTCGCCCCCCGGCCGTCCCTGTCAAAAACCAGCGTCAAGTGATCTTCTGGCGCCCACGCATGATCAAGATTTTGACGCGCAGTATGTAGTTGACATGTTTGTGAGCAGCGAATCGTTAGGCGCGGTTGGTATTGCACACAGCCGGCAATATGCCAGCATCCCCGCCGTCAGTAGCAAAAAACCCTATCCAATGTGGTCGCGGGGCGTTCGCGCATGATGAAGATTTGGTTCAACGTGCATTTGGTACTGATGTTTGCATGAGATGGTGGGGCTTTCGACATTGCAGACAGCAGGCAGTATGTCTGTACCTCCGCCGCCTCTATCAAAGAACAATGCAAAGTGATTGGGGGGTGCCCGCGCATGATCATGATTTGGTGCATCATGCAGTCGATATTGTTTCCCTGCATCCTAAGGTGTGCTTGTGTCTTCCATGGACACCCCGCGCAGGAACCAACATTGGAGCACATACACACGCACACACTCACACGCACACGTCAACACACGATCATCATCATCATCATCATCATCAGCATCAGCATCACCATCACCATCATCATCATCGTTATCATCATCATTGTCATTGTCATTGTCATCGTCATCATCATCGTCAGCATCAGCATCATCTTTATCATCACCATCATCACCAGATTCATCTGCATCATCATCATCACCATCACCATCGTCATCGTCATCATCATCAGCATCAGCATCACCATCATCATCATCATCATCATCATCATCATCATCATCGTCACCATCATCATCATCATCATCATCATCATCAACATCAGCATCATCATCATCATCATCATCATCATCATCATTATCATCGTTATGCTCATCAACACCATCACCATCATCATTTCCCCCTGCCGCGCTCGAGCAAACACGTTCAGCCACCCACACTCACACAGTAAGTGTGAGAAACTCTCGAGCGGGAGCCTCGTCTGTCAATGGCTTGTGAGGAAAAGTCTCGGGCGGGAACCCCCTCAAGATGGGGTCTCCGCTTCAGGCGGGCCATCCGAAAAAGGCCATTCGAAGACTCTCTAAAACCACACGGTTTGTTGACACCTCGGAGCCTGGATCCCGAGGAAGTGCGGAGCGAGAGTTCATTCCTAAGCAATCAGAGAGGATGTCAAGGGCGCTCGCTCGTTTGTGGGTTGATCGCGAGGAAATCTTTTGAGCGGGAGCCCTTCCCTATGGGATCCAACCTCATGTTGGTAATCCGAGACGTCCATCGAAATACCATGTAAAGAAACACACAGGGTTGGTGACACTTGGGAGTCTGAGGAATCCGAAACAATCGAACATCGCCCGCTGCATTTGTGGGGGGCGTAGGATATCTGGGCCCGCCATCATCACGTTGTCAGTCCGCAGCCGATCGCTTCCCCAGGGGCAGTTTCTCGTCCTGTCCTTTCGGGATCGTCCTGGGTCCCGAAAGCAAGGCCCCCAGAGCCGAGGTCGAGGAAACAACGTCGCATGCAGCAGCCAGATCGTCTGGCCTCCACGGGTCCGCGCACATGCATTCGACTCACCCTCCCCGCGGCGGCGAGCGAGGGGGGACGTGAGAGGGAGAGGAGGCGGCGGACGTTCAGCGCGAAGCAGATCACGGGAGAGGGCGAGGAAAGGTAAGGAACCGAGGGAGCGGCGAAGGGGAAGGGAGAGGCAGAGAAACGGGTGGGCGTCGGCGGCGAGCCCGGGAGGGGAGTGAGAAGGGGCGGGCCTTGTCAGAAGGCTCGGAAGTTTCTTGGCCTTCTGAAAAGTTCGGGAGGGGAAACATCACACACAGACGCAATCAATCGTCGATTCCAAGGAAAATATGCGGAAATATTGGAAGTGGGGGGGAAGACGAAACTCCAACAAATATGGAAGAAATTTGGGAATCCTGTTATTTGTGTGTAGTTAGTTGTGTGACCCAGGGCCCCTTCAAAAGTTTCCTGAACCTCCCGCGATGGCACAGAGACCTTCTCAGAAGGATGGAAGGCTTCCCAGAAGTCCCGCCGCCTTCAAGACTTCCCCCTCGCTCTCGCCGCCGACTCGTCCTGGGACCCCTCGTCAGCGCACCCGAAGGAGACGCTGTCCCTGAACTTCTGGTTCAATCCACCCGCGAGTGCAGCGCATTTCCCGCCCGACCACGCGGACGTGGAGCTCGCCCGGGACCTCGAGGCCACGGCCAGCTCGGAGCCGTCGCCTCGGAGGTGGCTAGGACAGGGACGAATCGATGTCTCAACGGCGATTTGTTCTTTTCGTTTTTGTGATCTTTCAGGCCCAACGCGTTCATCAAGCTAGGCTACAGCGGGGTTGGCAAAGTCCCCGATTGCCAGCTGACTGTGCCTTGTCACGCGCCGATGGGGGTGCAACAGGACAACTACATCATCATCATCATCATCATCATCATCATCATCATCATCATCATCATCATCACCATCATCACCATCATCACCATCATCATCATCACAACCTCCATCATCACCATCATCAGCACCACAATTATCATCATCAACCATCACCATCATCACCATCATCGCCACCACAATCATTAACATCATCAACCTCACAAGCCTCATCTACCTCATCAACATAAACAGCAACATCACCATCACCTGGATACATCATTCCAGATCGTTCCAAAACGCTCTCGGAGCGTTCCGGAACGCTCCGAGGAGGCCGCGGCGCCCGATGCAACCTCCAGGACCTCCGGATCTCAGAGATCCCCGATGTGTCCCTGTCCGATGCTGTCCCTGCCCTGGCTTCGTCTTACGCTGGCATGTCGCCAGGGTTGGGTGGTGATGATGAGGATGTTGCTGATGTTGTTTCGTGGGTCATGGTGAAACTGATGCCCCGCCTCAGTCTACAAGCAGGAGCAGGTCGGTGGCGTCAAGGTGTGTGTGTGTGTGTGCATGTGCGTGGTCTGATCCAAAATCCATATGACTGCGACGGTTCAACGCAGTGCCCTGGCACTACTTGATTGTTCAAAGAAGTCCCCCAGCACTGCTTTGAACGATGCGAGAATCTGGCCAGAAGGGGGCGTCCTGGAGAATGCAGGCTCCAACACGGCTTAGACGTCTTGCGTGGTGGTTGCGACGGGCTCGTGACGATCCAGCGTGGCCTATCTGTCAACATCTTCGACTTTCCGAATCGCCTTGGGAAGACGTGGCAGACCTGCCTGCCCGTGGCAGACCCTGTCGCAGACAAGACGCGCGTCTTCGCCATCTGACGCCTGCGCGTCCGCTGTTGCGGACTTAACGCTGCAGGTGGCGCAGAGTATGCGTTGTGAGTGAACGCCCCACCCCTTCAAAGTAAGACAATCCAAAGTGGGCGACAACATCTGGCACGGCGTCGGCAAAGCACGGAACGGAGCGCACTTCTCCCTGGCGGTTTTCACTCATGGAGCGGGCCGCAGGTCATTTGAACAATTCGCCGCTGGGCTCGAGCAGAGGGGGCGGCTGGTCGAAGCAAACATGGGCGGCATGATGGGCGGCAAAAAGGCGTTGCAGTTGCGGGGAAGGGCGCCCAGATTGGCGCCCAGAGGGGGGCCACAATTGCAGGGAAGAGTGCTGCATCTGAGCGAACTTGGAGCTGGCAGCCGCCGCAAGCAGCCAACAGCTACGGTGCAAACGACTATGCCGCAGTAGCGGCTGGGTCCTACGGCACCAGCGGCGGCGGTGCACGGGAGGCAGACGGTCAAACGACGGGATGACGCGATGGTTCCGAGTGGGCTGTGTGCGAGATTGGATGGCGTGCTGGCGGCTGACAGTGGTGGTGCGGTTATCACGCCGATGTTGCGGACGATGCTACGGAGGGCTCACCTCCTGAGATTCCGCGCGCGTGGGCAGGCGACAGAACGCATTGGACTCCACGCAATTCGCGGACTCTTGGTGGTCGGACTCCCACGCGTCTTGGTGCTTGGGCGCGCAGTGCTAGTGATGGCCGCAGTTGCGCCCAGGTGCAGCATAGTTGTGATGGCCGCTGCCGCTGCCCTGGACATTGCATTTGTCGTCCCCATGTGTAACGCTGCTTCGGAGGAATTTAATTATTGCCAGGGCACTGACCTGCAGCGTTCAAGGCAGTGCCAGGGCACTGCTTTGAGCCGTCGCACCGTTGCATTGATCAATGGTTTTCGGATTAGGTGTATGAGGTGATCATGGCTGGGCCCATGAGATCTCTCAGATACCACGGCCGCTCATTATGCTTCTCTCAACGCGCCTCACTGACCCTCCTTGTCCCCGCACATGCGTCAGGCCAAGATGCGCGGCGGTCAGGGACTCTTGCTTAGCGTGTCGCGCCGCTGTTTCTCGCACACCACGCTTCGGTGCGACGCGCTAGGCGCGTCCCAGTTCCCCAGCGTCAACGTCCCGAGCCTTTCCAGGCCCAGCGCCCCTTGGAGTGAAACGATAGGAAATCAGCTTGCAGGGCATCACGTGTCGGCGGGGCCGCCGCCGCGATACGCTAAGCAACATGTCCCTACCGTGACGTCATTCTTCCTGGCCCCCCTCTTCATTGATATCCTACTTTGCGAAAAGTTGTATCGGAAAGTCACGACCAGAGCCGTCTGCCCCACATTTCAGCGCAGTTTTTCGAGGCAGATCGATTTGTGATGGTCCTGGGGGGCGACACGTTACAAACCCGCCTGTGGCGAGACAATGGGGCTGACGGGATCTCAGGTCTCGGCGCGCCCGAGCAAGACGGGCAAGGTGAGGGCGACGCGCTCGCGACAAACCCGCCCGTGGCGAGAAAATGGGCCCCCCTGAGGCTGCTGTTGCAGAGGCCTCCGAAGGCCTTGGGGAGGCAGGCAGAGCACCGAGCACGTCCAAAACGTTCGACCCTCGATGTCCAATCGCCGTGGGCAAGGTGTGCAGGAGGAGGCGGACGACCCTGAGATCCTGACGAAGCAATTTTTGTCGACCCAGGCTTTCCCGCCCGGTTTCGGGCCACGGGACCCTCACAGATCGATCCAGCCCGACAAATGATACAGAAAGATGGGGTCCGGGGCTCCGGTCGTGTTTTTTTTTGCTACGTTGCCATTTTTTCGCAACGTGGGATTTCACGGGAGTTTGTCGCGCCGTTGGTTCTGGCACACCCCGCTTCGTCGCGACGCGGTATCCACGTCCCAGTCCGCAAGCGTCAACGCCATGAGTTTTCCCCCAGCCTCCCGCCCCGCGGAGCGGAGCGACGCGATATCCGCTCGCAGAGCATACCGTGTCGTCGGGGCCGCCGTCGCGGCACTTCTGGCTGCAGCGCTGGCGGCCGCGAGCGTGTCTGTAGTTTCGAGGGCTGCGCCAATCTACAGTCAAGGCGCTAAAATAAGGAACAGTTTTGGTACGAAAGGGGCTCGATGTTCCTTAGGTCGTTCTGTGGTTGTTGCTCTAGCCCTCCTCGTGCTGGCTGGCGCTCTTGAGGCCAGAGAGGGGCTTCGGGGCTCCGTTCCTCATCCACCGTTCCTCATGTCAGCGGCCCGACTGCAGGAGGTGCAGAGCGGCAGGACAAGAAGCGGACGGCCGCGACGGCGGCCGACCGCAGAGAGAGGCTGCGGGGCAGGAGGCGCGCGGGCGGCCTCAGCCACCGAAAACCAGCGCGTTTTCCGGTTCGAACGCATTTGAAAGGAGAAAATGGTCATCGCACCGCTACGCTCAGCCTTTTTTCCCTCCTGGGAGGGAGGCCCTCGTCGCCACTGCTGAATTCGCTTCGAAATCCTGGGTAGAACGCACACCAGGAGAGGTCCTGGGAGTAGGGGTATCGGTACCTTTTGGTTTCCCCAGCATCAATACGGAACCGCCGAAGTTGAAGCGACAAAGGTGTCCAGGCACGAGGCAAGCGCCAGCCAACAGGTCAGAGGCGACATGTCGGCAGGTGGCAGCCAGGATCCTCACGGACATGTCCAGCCGCCGCCGGGACACGCCAAGCAAAAGTTCCCGAGCGTACCGATTCGGATCCCTTTCAGGAAGGGAGGAGGTGGGCGTGCCAGGCCATCGTGCACGCCGCGATCGGCCCGGAGGCCACCGAGCAGTTCCTCCCCGCCCAGCGGGCCCCGAAAAGGACCTGGGCGCACAGGGGGGGGGAGGGGGCTGGTAGGCTTCGGGCTGCGCACAGACAGCACCCCAAGGCAGTCCCGTCTAGACTCAGCAGGCCCCCCAGGTGGCTCGAGTCGGAGCCGCAAGACAAGCGCCTCGTGCGAGACATCCCCACAATCTGAACCTGCACGGGCTAGTGTGACATCCCTGCTGGCTCCCAATTGGAGTGCTAAAGCGAGCGCTTGGGCTGGAGACATCCTCACAATCTGCTCTGAAACAAGAGAAGCCAGCAGCGCCAGACAAGCACTTCGCTCGAGACGTCCCCACAATTTGGGCGTGAATGGGCGGGTGTAACACCCCCTGGCGGCTCCCTCTAGGGATGCTCAAGTGCAGTACCTGCTTCACTGCGGTGATCATTCTAGAGCTATGTGTGCGGGTCAGTCTGAGTCTGAGTTAGTATGATTATTCGTGAATCTGGGTATGCGTGAGTCGGAGTGGGAGCGGGGCCCAGCGTCAGTGAGTCTGAGTATGAGTGAGTCTGAGTGCGAGTGCTCCGTGTGAGCGAGTTTGAGTGACAGTGAGTCTGTGTGTGACTGAGTCTGAGTGTCTGTGAGTCTGAGTGCTGCGAGTTGCCTGAGTATGTCCTGAGAGGGAAGAGGGACGAGGGAGGAGGCGCGAGGCGATGAGTGGGAGGCGGAGGCGCCACACGCATCACGATATCTTCATGTTCAGCACTTGGGGTACTTTGGAAAGGAGCCACCGCCGCCGCCTTTGATCACCTGAGTGCAGTCTGCGCGGTGCTATGGTAAGATTCTGGGTTTGCAGGTGGACCGCCCGCCATCCGTGCATCTGTGGAGGGCTCGTGAAAATAATTTTGCGCGATGCTTCCCTGGCGAGAGCCAGATCTCGACAGTGCGTCGCGCTGCATACGTGCAGTGGGTCTCCGAGACGTACCGTCGAAACCTGCCTTGGGCGTCGTCCAAGGTGCCCTACTTACCGACACGCCTGGTGGCTCGACGAGGAAGAGTTATCTGCGAGGGAAAGGGGCGGAGAAGGAGGGGAAGGAGGAGGGCGAGGAGGTGAAGGAGGCAGGAGGGGGGAGCAGGGGGAGAGAACCGATGAGGAGGGCGAGGCGCGATGATCAAGGAGCGAGGAGGAACGAGGAGGATGAGCAGGCGGGGGGGTCCCTTCTCTGCATCTCGTCCTCCCTCGTCTTGTCCCTCATGCTCCACCTCCTCTCTAGCGTTCCCACTTCCGTTTCTCCTGCTGCTTCTCTTCTGTTTCTCCTGCCGTCATGTCTTCTAGATGCTACTGTGATCAGTTCTTTCTGCATTGTATTGTAGTGTTGCTTGCTTACCAATCTTTCTCTCAGATTATGTCTCCCTTTATTTAGTCCACTACCCGTGTTTCGTTTCTGATTCGCTCTCTCTCTCTCTCTCTCTTTCTCTGTCTCCTTGTCTGTATGTCTGTCTCTCTCTCTCTCATCTGTTCTCTACAAATGTATATGTACCAATGTCACTCTTTAGTGGTTCTCTCGCTCTCTCCCTCTCTCTCTCTCTCTTTGTTGGTATTTCTCTATCTATGTTTCCTTTGTGTCGTTGTTGGTCTCTCCCTTCTCTCTCTCTGTATGAATGTATACATGCACGCGAATATAGATGTACGTACAGTTGTCATTGCCGTGTGTCAGTGTATGTTCCGGATGTGCATGTACATATGTGAACACATCAACAGTTCATTACATACATGTGTATGCGCGTATCCCGTGAAATCCGACGTTGTGAACACGCAACACTGCGAAGCGCCACAACGGGAGCCGGATCGATTTGTGATGGTCCTGGGGACAAGAACTTGGAGCTCTGGACCACTTGTCAGGGACTTGGTTTTCGTCCCGAATTCGCTCGCTTCTTGACGGTCCTGGGATCTCGCCAGGGCCCAAAGCCCAACGAAAAACCTCGGTCTTGATTCTTCCCGTATGTTGGAGGTCTGGCTGTTGCGAAAGACCGCCGTCTGGATTGTTGTCCATGTGCTGGAGGTCTGGGGAGCCTTCCGCGGCATGGCGCGGTCGGCGGGGTGTCCAGCGCCCGCCCAGGTTCTTCCGCTCGTGGGGCGCCGCCGAGCCCCCGGCCACCGCCGGGCAGCTGGATCTGCGCCTGGCGCTGCTAATGATCGTGCACCAGCTGAGGATGCCCTCCTGCTGCTCTCACGCCGGCCACGCTCAGAAGAGGAAGAGGTACCCATACTGCTACTCTGCCCTCGTTTCCCCTTTTGGGGGCCTCCTGGGAGGCCCTCGTCGCCACCGCCGGATACGCCTCGAAATCTTGGTCACAACGCACCCCGCTATCGTGCACCAGCTGAGGATGCCCTCCTGCTGTTCTCACCTCGGCCACGCGCAGAGGGGGGTAGGGGGAGGGGAAACAGCTTTTCAGAAACACCCCAACGTTTTAGACGGCGCGGGCCTTACATGTGTAGATGTAGGGCCCGCGCCTTCTAAGGAGCAGCTTCCTTCTAAGAAGTTTTCCTCCCTCTCCCTACCCCCCTCTGCGCGCCGCCAACTCCCTCCTGTTCTGACGAGCGGCGAACATGTCCGAAAGCGCGCGCGCGCGTGGCGACGGCAAAGCAAAAAGGGGGGGTTCAGATTCAAACTATCTCCCCCCCCCCCTCCTTTGCTAAGGGGGGGGGGCTTCAGAAGCCCCCCCCTCCTTTCCTTTTTGGTGCTGGAAAGGGAGGGGGCTTCGAAGCTACCCCTCTTTTCCGGCGCCCGAGGTAAGGCTGGGCTCCCTTCTGTCAGGGGGGGGGCTTCGGAAGCCCCCTCCCTCCTCCCTCCCTGGTGCTGGAAAGGGGGGGGACTTCGAAGCTACCCTCCCCCCCTCGTTTTCTCGAGCCCGAGATAAGCCGGGGCTCCCCTTTGCCAGGGGGGTGGGCGGGGCGGTCCCAAGCTCCCCCCTGCGCTTCCAGGTGCTCCCAGGCGTTCCCAGGCGCCCCGCAGCGCGCTCAAGCGCTCCCAGGCGCTCCCAGGTGCTCCCACGCGCTTCCAAGCGCTCCCAAACGCTTTTAGGAACGCGCCCAGACAAGCGCTCCCAGGCGTTCCACGGCCATCACAGGCACTCCCAGGCGCGCCCAGGCGCTCCCTGGCGTTCCCAGGCGCCCCCAGGCGCTCCCAAACGCTCCCAAGTGCTCCCAAGTGCTCCCAGGTGTTCCCAGGCGTTCCCTGGCGCTCTTAAGCGCTTCCCGGCACTCCCAGGCGCTCCCAGACACTCGCAGGTGGCAGTCCCAGGCGCTCCCAAGCGTTCCCAGGCGCTCCCAGGCGCTCCCATGGCTCCCAGGCACTCCCCGGCGCTCCCAAGCGATCCCCGGGGCTCATAGTTCCCAGGCGCTGCTAAGCGGCCCCAGGCGCCTCGATCCCAGGTATCCTAGGCGTTCCCCGGAAGGTTTCGCTGGAGTTGCGAGATCGCCACGGAACGTCCCGGGTCGCCGAAAAGCACCCCCGGCCTTGGGCGCCGGCCCCAGAGGTCACCAGGCGCCCCCAGGGACATTCACGATCTTAGGGGTGGTATCGTAAGAGAGGTGAGCGCGAATCCGCAATAATTTACGAGGGATCGTGTCTCGGGGGCGCGAATCTCACGTGTGTTTTACGCGTCCCCCAGGAAATCCTATTATCCCGGCAAAGCAACCTAACATCGATATGTAGAAGCATAGCTGGAGGGGTGTATGTCCAAACGAGACACTGCTATCAACGCACGGAACTTGAATGGATGTATGTCCAAGCGAGACACTGCTATCATCGCACGGAGCTCGAATGGGTGTATGTCCAAACGAGACACTGCTATCAACGCACAAAGCTTGAATGGATGTACCTCCAAATGAAACACTGCTATCAACGCACGGAGCTCGAATGGATGCATGTCCAAACGAGACACTGGTATCAACGCACGGATGCTTGAATGGGTGTACGTCTTCACGAGACACTGCTATCAACACACGGAACTTGAATATATGTATGGTCAAACAAGACACTGCTATCAACGCACACACTGCTATCAACGCACAGAGCTTGACACTACACAGTTGTATCACAGACTCGCAGGACAGTAGGACTCGCAGGACTACATTGTGTACAAAGTATTATGTGCAGGGACTCGTAAGACCTGTGTCTCTACTGGTGTGCTGGGCGAGTCCATGCAAAAGCATGCAAAAACATGCACTTTGGCAGACGTCTTGGAAGTCTGCAAAAGCGGCACGCTGAGCTGTGGTGGCAGGCTGCAAAAGCGGCAGCCTGCAAAAGCTTGCACTTTGGCAAACGTCTTGGAAGCCTGCAAAAGCGGCAGGCTGAGCTGTGGTTGCAGGCTGCAAAAGCGGCAGCCTGCAAAAGCATGCACTTTGGCAGACGTCTTGGAAGTCTGCAAAAGCGGCACGCTGAGCTGTGGTGGCAGGCTGCAAAAGCGGCAGCTTGCAAAAGCCTGCACTTTGGCAGACGTCTTGGAACTGAGGAGCGGCGTGCGAAGCGGAGAGCCTGCGAAACCTGGAGGCTGAAAACTCGCAGGCTGAGACTCGCAGAAACCCGCAGGCTGAAAAGAGTCCTACTACTCGCAGAAAAGCACCGCAGAAAGAGTCTAGCGAAAAGCACCGAAGGCTGAGAAGCACCGCGGGCACACGGGCTTGGAAACCTCACCTCTCCCGCTCGTCTTGCAGGAAGTCGCGCCAATCCGGCGGCTGCCAAGAGTCGATGATGCGCCGAGACCCACCGCCCGTGCTGCCGCCGATGTCCAGGTAATCCCCTCCCGCAGTACGGAGGCGGCCGTGTCCTAGCGCCACAATCGCCTGGTTCCGTTTGACTCGCAACTCGCCGCTGTCCCACTTCCGAAGCACGTCCAACTGCTTGCGCGTGAGAGTGGGGACCTCCTGGCCCTGGTCGGCAGGCTGAGTAGCACCGCCACGTAAGAGCTCTTGCCGATAGCGGGCGAGCCGCTCACCCTCGTTGTAGCGCGAGATCGCTTCAGCCTTGTCGTGGTGGAGGCGGCGGCGCTCTTCCTTCATGACTTCGTCGTGCGCAGGTGGCTCACTGGGTTCGGCGTGCAGGGCTTGGGCGAGCATGTCAACGTCGAAGCGGCCGGAGAGCAAGCACCTCCCAGATCTGTTTTGTGCCGCACACACGTTGCAGATGCCGGCACCACCGCTTGCGCTTCTGCTCTCTGAGGAACTTAGCGAGACCCCCTTGGCCTGCCCCCTGGGGCTGGCCACCTTGTGGTGGAGTCTTGCCTTTCGCCTTCCCCTCCTCGCCTTTTCCCGCAGACTGAGAAGCTCCGCGAATACCTTGTGGTGGAGTCTTGCCTTTCGCTTTCCCCTTTTCGCCTTTTCCCGCAGGCTGAGAAGTTCCGCTAGAACCTTGTGGTGGAGTCTTGCCTTTCGCTTTCCCCTTCTCGCCATCTCGTTCCTGTAGCGCCAGCTGGTGTTCGGACTGCTCGTGCCCTGTGCGAACACGTCTCACGAGTTCCCCGCGCTCAGCGTCGGCGAGGACGCGCCGCAAGTCGGCGATGTTTTTGCTCCGCAGAAACTCATGGCGAACCTTAAGGACAGACACAATGGCTCGGACAGTCTCCGCCTGTGACGCGAAGGCGGTGTCGCAGTCCGAGCCAGGCTGAGAAGCGCCAGCTGGATCTTTGTCCGCAGGCTGCGTGGACGTCCTCTTCTTGAACAGCAAGAGGCTGAGGTGGTGGGGGAGTTTCGGGTCGTAGGCCGCGTCATACCTCTGGTCCCAATACTCCCTCAACTCCTTGTGCAGCTCATGCGCGCGCCGACTAACTTCATCCTCGGGCTCGTCGCAGGCTGCGGCGTCGGCCGGTGACGTCGGTGAAAGCGGTGCATGCACAGGGGCGGGGCTCGGGGGCCGGGACCAGTGCACCGAGGAGCCCTCCACCTCGGTCTCTGAGCCGGCGTCGGCGTCAGGCAATCCTCCGAATGCAATCTTCCGCCTCTTTGTCTCCCCAGGCTGAGAAGCATCAGGGGCGGCGAGCACGACCGCAACAGCATCGTGTGCGTCGTTTCGCATGCCACGGTCCATGTAGGAGGCGCCAACAGCGACGGGCTGGAAACGCGCGACTGCTCCGCAGACTGCCACGTCGTCGCCTTTGCGGTCCGCCGGGGGGGGGGCGAAGACTTCCCATAACGCCTCGTCGCCAGTGCGGCGTTGGAAAGCTTCGCGCGCCTCCTGCGCGGTCAAGTTGTTGTCGCCGACTACGAGGCGCACGACCGGCGTGCCCGGCTCCCCAGTACTGAGAAGCACGGCGATCCCGTCCAAGTGGAGTCGGAGAAACCGAACTGCTTTCTGTCGCGTGTGAATGCTGGGAGGGTTGCTTCCGCAAACGATGTGCATGTTTCCGACGACCGCGTGAACTTTGTCATGGCCTCCTGTCTGCACATTGAACCGTGAGATCACTGCGTCCACTTGTCGCGCGATGGGGACGTGGTAGATGCATGTGTCCTCGCGCAGGGACGCGTCAGCAGGCTGAGAAGCACCGCCGAAGCCCCATAGGCTCAAGTAGTTGGCGACCTCGCAGAAGCCGATGCTGTCGCCGAACGGCTTGGTCAGGATGTCTTTCACGTTGATGGATGCTCGACTCAGGCCTTGACGAAACGCACCGACCTCGCACCCAAAGAAAAGGTCAGCATCGACTTCCTCGACTATCTTGGCGCAAATCCGCCCGAAGTTGGAGCAGTGAGTCTTGGAGTTCTTCCCCATCATCATGCTCTGCTCGAACCCGAAGTTAAAAGAGGCGACCGTAAAAGACGCAGGTTGAGGATCACAGCGAGCAGGCGCGGCCGCAGGCGTGTGTCGGTCTTCCTCCGCAGGCTGAGAAGCACCGCGAGAAGCCGAGGCTGCAGGCCGGTAAGGATAGGGCCAAGGGAGGGCCATCCTGGAAGGGCACGTCCTGAACCAAAGACGGCTGTCAAGACAATGACGATGACGATGCTGATGCTGATGCTGATGATGATGATGGCGATGATGATGATTTTGATGATGATGATGATTATGATGATGCTGTTGCTGCTGGTGATGATGGTGGTGGTGGTCATGGTGGTTGAGGTGATGTTGGTGGTTGTGATGATGATGATGATGAGAATAGAATGATACTGATGATGATGACGATGATGATGATGATGATGATGATGATAACGGTGATGATGGTGGTGGTGATGATGATAATGATGATGATGATGATGATGATAATGATGATGATGATGAGGAGGAGGAGGGGGAGGAGGAGGAGGAGGAGCAGGAGGAGGAGTAGGAGGATGATGATGATGATTATGATGATGCTGTTGCTGCTGGTGATGATGGTGGTGGTGGTGATGGTGGTTGAGGTGATGGTGGTGGTTGTGATGATGATCAGTTGGCTCCGGGCATCCAAAATGTGGCCCGGGAATGGAGTTCTGGGAAATAGAAGAGCACGAAGTGGCCTACAGTTGGCTCCGGGCATCCAAAATGTGGCCCGGGAATGGAGTTCTGGGAAATAGAAGAGCACGAAGTGGCCTACAGTTGGCTCCGGGCATCCAAAATGTGGCCCGGGAATGGAGTTCTGGGAAATCGAAGAGCACGAAGTGGCCTACAGTTGGCTCCGGGCTTCCAAAATGTGGCCCAGGAATGGAGTTCTGGGAAATCGAAGAGCACGAAGTGGGCACGAAGTGTGTGACTGTATGCGAAAAACGATCCCCGCCGGCAAACCGTAACAGCCCCCCAACTGCCCCCCAACTGCCCCCAACGGCTGCCCAGACCCCCCTGTGGAGTAATGTTGAAGTAATGTTGAAGTAATGTGCTGCTCTCTTTTTATACCACTAGAAACCTACCAGTCTTCGATGTTAGGTAAATACCTTGGCGGCGGACAATAGCGAACCGCGCGGGCAAAAGGGTTCCAGGTTCAGGGTTTTCTTTGCGACGGGGCGCAGCATTGCGGCGTCGGCTTGAGGTCTATTTGTGGGCTCGACTAGCGCTCGCCCCTCGCCATCGATAGCGTTCGAGGTCGAAAGCGCGACCCAACGGGGTCGCGCGTCAGTTTGGGGTTTCAGAGGGTTAGGGCTGAAGTTGCGCAGCTTCCAGCAAGGGTGTTCAAAGGGAGGGAACAAGGGTGGTAGCTAAGCCCCCCCACTTTGGGCAAGGGGGGGTAGCCTCTGGGCGGCCAAAAGGGGGGGAGATTGGGGGGAAACTTCGCGGGCCGGGGAAAAAAAAGGGAGGGGGGGGAGCTTCCAACAAGGGCGCCCAAGGGGGAGGGGCGGGGGGCTACGCCCCCCCCCTTTCAGGAAGGGGGGGGTAGCTTCCGGGGAGGGGACAAAGGAGGGGGGGGGGGGTAGCTTCCTCCAGGGCCAGAAGAAAAAGGGGGGGGGAGGCGGGGGGCTTCCAACAAGGGGGCCTTAAGAGAGGGGGGGGTAGCTGAAGCCAAGCACCCCCCCCTTTTTTGGTTGCTGTGGGCGCGCTCTCTCGCACGTCCGCATCCGCGCCCTCGCGGTCTGGATTCCAGGCGCGATCCCGCGGACGCGCCGTCGTACGAATGCGTTCCGCGCGGGGCACCAGCGAACAAACGACCCGTGACCGCGGGGTCGCGGCCCAGGGGGTGGCCCGCGAGGCTGCGGATCCCACGATGCGCATGCTCCCCCAGGCCCTGCTCCTCCTGCTCGTCCTCTTCCTGCTCCTGCCCTTTCCCCACCAGAGGAGGAGGAAAAGGAGGAAAAGGAGGTGGCGGAGGCTCCTCGTGTCGCCCCTCCGTCGGTCTCCCTTTCCTCCAGGGATACCACCCCTCCTGGTTGTTGTGCCGTCCAGGTTTAAAGCGCGTGCCCCGCCCCCGCCCCCCATTCAAGCCGAGTGTGGAAAGGGAGAGGACGAGGAGGTGGGGCGCGCATGATGGCGGCGGACGATGGTTGCGTCGTGTAGACGTGGTTTCTAATGGAAGGGAGGGAGGGAAGGAGGAAGAGGGAGAGCCAGGAGGCTTCTCCCCTCCCAGGTGGTTTCGTCCTGTGTCGTTTTTCCACCCAGTATCCCAATCGCCATCCCCATCCCCGTCCAGACCCCCCACCATCTCAGCACCCCAGTTGGGAATTGACCCTTCGACACCTGAATGCCAACTGCCCATATCCCCATCTAGGGGGGTAAGTTGGTTAGTGTGGCGCACCCCACGCCGTTGGGGATATGGGATCGGATAAACAATGCTCACTCCAATTTCTTCTCCTCCTCCTCCTCCACCTCCTTTTCCTGCTTCTCCTTCTCCTCCTCCTCCTCCTGCTCCTCCTCCTCCTCCTTCTCCTCCTCCTCCTCCTCCTCCTCCTCCTCCTCCTCCTCCTCCTCCTCCTCCTCCTCCTCCCCCCCCCTCCAGGATAGCCGGTAGGCTCCTCGGCGCGGAGGATGCAGCGCACGTGTTGCGCTTCCTGGACGCCCGGCGCTACGCGGGCCTGCAATTCGCGGCCTTGCGTCAGCCGGCGCCTGCGATGGCGGTGGGCAGGCCGCCCGCTGTTGGCAGGGCCATCCTCTTCCTCAGGCTTCCCGGTCCTCCACTTCCCCTCCGCCTCCTGGTCCTCCCCTCCTGCCTCCTCCTCCCCCTCCTCCTTCCTCCCCTTTCTGGTCCTCTCCGTAGCCATTTTGGCTCAAGATGATTGGTGCCCCTGGGGACCACACGGATACCGCTAGTCCGCGGCCAGACCACCGTTTGCCTTCACCGTGGGAGTTGGGCACCCACATCCAGTCCAGCCCCGCTTGCGCTGCCACGGCGGCCCGCCTCCTTCGTGGCCTGCGTGGCCAGAGTGCAGGATGGCGCCGCCGCACTTCCGCTCAGAGCAGAGCACGCGCCACTGGTACTGCAAGAGCTGCGTCGGGCCCAAGGGCCGCCCGTGGTTCAACTACGCCGACGCGACGTCCTGCACCATGTGCAAGCTGGGCAAAGGGCTCTGCTTCAAAGAGTACCGCGCCCCCTCGTCGCCCTCGCTGCGCAGGCCTGGGAGGTCTTTCTCGGCATGGGCAGACTCCGTGCAGGTGCAGAAGCTCAAGCAGGAGTTGGCTTCGACCCAGGCGAAGCTCAACCGGCTGGACGGCAAGTGCTCCGCCTCGGAGGAGACGGACGTACCCAGCGGCAGCGAGCGGGACAAGCAGCGATTGCAGGTCCTGGCCGAGTTGCTCAAGACCGTCAGCGGCAGTGAGGACGTCCATCTCGTGCGGGCCAAGGAGGCTTACACCAAGGAGCAGGGCGAGCTCAAGGCCAACTTGGCAGCCGCGCGGCCGATGGGCCAAAGGCTGCGAGACCTTGGGGCCCAGATCTCCAAGCACCAGAAGCTGCAGGACGACCAGCAGCAGCGGCCCGCTGGCATCCATGAGAAGCTCGCGGTCTTGCAGGAGCAGGAGAAGGCGGCGCAAGCCCAGTGCACGGCCCTCGCCCTGCAAATGGAGGAGTTGCAGGAGCAGCAGCGGCAGCTGCAGAGCGAGGCCCCCGTGCCACCGGACTTCGAGGCTGGGAAGGGACCTGTTGACGAGCCGATCAAAGGGCTGGGCCAGACTCTGTCAGGCCTTGGCGAGGTGCTGAGCGTCCTCGGCGCCGAACACAGCCTGGCGGAGAGGCTCAAGGAGGACCTGGAACGGCTCAAGCAGGTGGCGGAGGAGGCGCGCACCAAGCAGCAGGAGGAGCGAGAGGCCAACGCCGCAGCCGAGGCGGAGCGGCAGCGGGCCGAAGGCGCAGCAGAGGTGCCAGTACCCATGGACCAGGACGAGGACGCCGCCCCCAGCGAGGAGCTCATCGAGGAGATGGCCAACGCTGGCGGCGACAAGAGGAAGATCGAAGAGATCCTGGCCAAGCACTGGTGTAAGCGGCGCCAGGCTGCCGCGTACTTGCCCCGCCCTGTTCCTGAGGCTGTTCTGGGTCTTGTGCTCCCTCGTCTGCACCATGGCGAAGCCCACTGGTAGTACCACACCCAACGTCTCGGCAGGTGGCCCGCTCGTCGACTACCTGGCCTCATGCTCCAGCATGTGCGCCGACGTGCAGGAGCACCACGCGCTGCCCGCGGGCCTGGCCAAGGCCCAGCAGGACGCCCTGGCCGAGGGCTTCCACGGGGTCTGGGAGGCTGCGCTCCCAGGGCTCGGTGCTGGCAGCAAAGGCGGGGTCGCCGTGCTTGTGCCTCGGCGCGTGCTCATCACGGCGCCCCCAGCCCTGGAAAGGGCCAACGCTAGAGCCAGGGAGGATGGCGGCCGCCCATGTCAACTGTGGCGGCAAGCGAGGATTCGTCATGACCTCCGTGTACTTGAGAGTTGACGAGCAGATGTCACATGAAAACCTGGCCATTCTCTTCAAGCTCTATCAGTATCCCAAAGTGCTGGGCTCGATGCAGATGCCGTGGGTTGTGGGAGGAGACTTCAACATGGAGCTGAAGCAGTTGGGCACGCTAGCGTGGCTTCACTCCGTCAACGGCGTCGCGCTGGTGCCCTCGGCGCCCACCTGACTGCAGTCGCTCCCGCGCCGCACCATTGACTTCTTCTTCGCGGCAGCACAGCTGCTTCCCAGGTTGAGCACTGCGGCTGTGGAGGAAGCCAACACATGGCCTCACCTGCCCGTCGCGATGCAGCTCAGGACATCGGCCCAGGTCATGTGGACACGGCAACTCGCGCAGGCCAAGGGTTTCACCGAGGAGCCAAAGGTCGGTCGCGCCAGCCCCCGCCCGACTGGGACCCCTTCCACGAGCTAGTGGCGCAGGCCCAGTCCGCGGAGGACTTGGCCGCGGTTTGGGACCAGTTACTGCTGGGCGCGCAGTTCGAGCTGCAAGGGAGGCACGACGTCGTCGGACCCCAGGCCGCCAAGTTTCTGTCGCAGCCGATGGCACCGTCCTTCAAGTGGGCCAAGTTCGAGCACGACGAGCGTCAGTCCTGGAAGCGGAAGGCCCCCGACGTGGCAGCGTGGCTCACCGCGGCAAGGTGGGCTCGGCCTTTTCGGCGTGTTCGTATGGCGCTGGTGTCTTTCATTTCGAAGCTGTCCGCGCCGCCCGCGTTCGCGTTGCAGGAGCGCAGCGAGCAGGCCGGCGCACCGCCTGGCTCGAGGCCGCCTCCCGAGGAGCCGCGCTCGATGGGCAGGCCCGCCAGGGCCGCGACCGTCTCGGTGGAGGTCGCGGGGGAGCAGGGGCCCCAGGTTTGCAGCGAAGCTGGGCCCCAGCGAGGTGGGCTGGAGACTCGAGCGCGGCGACCCCGCGGAGGTGAGCCGAGTGCTGGCAGCTGGCAAGCGCCGCCTCCGCCGTCCTCCCCGACCTCGCATTGCAGCGAGCTGTGCGTCAAGACGGCCAGGCACATCCTTGAATTTCAGTATTTTCTCAAGCGGATGGCAGCCAGGCAGGATGCGCGGCAGCATTTGGACAGCGAGGCGATCGACTTCTTCTGCCAGGGGCTAGAGGCGTTCAATATGGAGGTGGACGCGTTCGACCAGCAGGGCCATGCAGCGGTGCCGCACGCTGGCCAAGTCCGAGGCCATGCAGCGGTCCCACGAGAGGCCGGTCATGTCCAGGTGGCGGCGTGGGTTGTGGCATCCTTCGATGGAGGGGCCAGCCGCGCCCACAAGTTCTCGAAGCCGCAGGCGCTCCAGGAGGTGATCGACTTCGGCGCAGGGGTTCAGCGCGCCTGCCAGCTGGCCGACCGCAAGCTGTCCTACTGAGGCGAGTTCTGGAGGATGCACAAGGATGGCCCGATCCAGCTGCCGAGCGATGCCGCCAACTGGGGCCGGTTACCACCGTTGAGCGGCGCCGACGTCCGTCGAGCGATCCGCGCGTTCAGCTGGCGTACAGGTACTGGGCAGATCAAGATTGCGCCGCGGGCCCTCGATTTCCTGTCAGGCGCGGCCCTCGAGGCGATGGCCCAGGTGTTCTCCCGTTGCGAACAGCCATTGGGTCGGCCGCAGTCGCGCTTCATCACCAAGCTCGTTCGCCTGCCCAAGCCTGGGGGACGAGAGCGCCTGATCGCCCTCCTCAACACCCTGGTGAGAGTTTGGGGGCGGACACGGCGCCCAGTCTCGGCGCAGTGGGATATCGCCGACGCGTCCGAGGAGTTCTGGGGGCGCATCGGAGGCCGCTCCTCGACGGACGCAGCTTTCGACCTGGCGCTCGAGAAGGAGACTGCCCAGCTGTCGGACCAACACGCGGTCATTGTGCTCCTGGACATGCTAAAGTGCTACGAGTTGGTTCGGCACCGAGCGATCCTCGATGAGTGCAGCGCCAACGGGTATCCCATGGGACTAGCCTACGTGCTGGTGACGATGTACGAGCAGGCGCGCACCATCTACGCGTATAACTCGTTCTCCGAGGATAGGGTCATCTGCCAGGGCATCCTGGCGGGGTGCACTCATGCGACCACGCTGCTGATGGTTTTGCTCACGCGCAGCATCAAGTTGACCAAGACCGTCGCTCGTGATGTTCGGCCTCGAGACCTGGTTGACGATGTCGCGCTTTCCTGGACAGGGACTGACGCGCGAGGGTCGCGAGCCATGGCCACGGCCACAAAGGTTTTCTGCGAGGAGGTCAAGCCATTTGGGTTGGTGCTGCAGTTGAACAAGTCAGGGCACCCCGCGGTCACACGCCAGGCGAAGTACTACTTCAAGGCGTACGCCATGGTGCTGAAGATCGAGGGCAGGCGCCGCATGCGGTACCTGGGTCACGGCACGTCGGCCAATGGCGCGGCGCGCGGAGTTCAGAAGGACAGGCTCAAGAAGATGCAGGCCAGAAGGCCTCGCATGTCGGCGCTGCAGAAGGGAGCTGGCCGTGGGCGCGCCGCGCGGCTCTGGGCCACTGGCGCGATGCCCTCGGTGGGTCACGGCGCCGCGGTCAGCGGCATCAGCGACGGGGAGCTGAAGCAGCTGCGAAGCATGGCTGGCAGTTTCTGTGGTGTCAGTGGCTCGGGCTCCCTCACCCTGTACTTGGCGGTGCAGAAGCAGCGCAACTTCGACCCCATTTGCCGCGCGACCTGCAGCATCCTGGTGCAGTATGCTTCGTGGGTCTGGGCGGCAAGAGGATCGACCGTTCTGCTGCAGAAGGCGTGGACTGCGCTGAAGGAAAAGTTCGGCGGCGCCAGCTCCCCAGTCACGTGGGCCAGCGCCCGCGGCCCAATGTCGGCGCTGTGGCTCACGTTGAGGAGAGTCGGCTGGGACATGATCAGCGCGACGGCGCTCGTCGACGACCTAGGAGCGGGCGTCGACCTTCTCAGAGTGTGCCCAAGCGAGGTTAAGCACTACATGTACCTGAGCATCGAGCGCTGGCAGAGCCATTGCATCCTGGACCGCCTGCCCGGAGCCCCACGTCGTGACGCCGAAGGACGTAGGCAACACATCTGGACCAGGGCGCTGCGGCACGGGCACCCGCAGAAGATGTCCAACGGCCTGCGAGGGGCTTTGGCCAAGCTGCAGTCGCACGGCATGTGGACCCCAGCTCGGAGGCAGGAGGCAGGATACACAGACGATGCGGTGTGCGAGTTCTGCGGACACACCACAGCGGACCTGGAGCACGAGCTGTTCTATTGCTCAGTGCACGAGGCGCAGGAGGATGAGGAGCACAGCCCGCGCCCCGACGACGTCCTGCAGGTGAGGAAGGGCATCTGGCAGCAGGGCCAGACGGGCGTGGGCCTGGAGTAGTTGTTCTTGAACTTTATTTTGCACTACCCGTCGTAGTCTGTTAGCCGCCCTTTCCCCCTCCGTCCCCCTCTGCCCCTCTGGGCTCAAGTCGGCACGGGCGAGGCCCGCAGGCGGGCCCCTCTGCGGTCGTGCCTGGGTACGGCCTCCCACCGCGGCGCCATTCCGCGGCCTTGCGCGCTCGCGGGCGCGCTGCTGGCGCTCCTGGGCCTCTCGGGCGACCTCCAGGAGGAGGCCCTGGCCGTGGGGGGCAGGTTCAGCCAGGACCAGGCCCTGGATTTCCTCGGCCTGCGCTTCGAGAGCGAGGGCGAGGACGACGTCGAGGAGACTGAGGCGGAGGGCCCCGCCTCAGTCGAGGAGGTCGAGCTCGTCGACGCTGCGGGGGAGACCAAGATCGTCGGGAGCAGCCCGCTCGTCATGGGGGGCTGGGCGCAGTGAGACAGGATCTACTACCTGCCCAAGGGGCAGAGTGCGGGCGCGGTCATGCTGTTGGTCGAGCGGGTGGGGAAGGCCAGCGACCAAACGTGGGCGTGCGTGGACCCGTCGGTCAGGGTGCAGATCATATGCTTGAAGGATAAGCAATCGCAATCGGTGCACAGCAAGCCGCCACGTGGCATCAGCCAGTGGACGGCTTTCCCAGGGCTGAACGGCAAGACTCGGGACATGGCGCTGGCGGCCTCTTCGAGGCTGATTGCACGGAAGGAGCTGGGCGCCGAGAACGTCAAGGTGGCCAGGGCCGCCGACAAGAAGAAGGGCTTCTGGAAGCTGGGCGGGAAGCGGAAGACCTCGAAGAAGGCGGGCATGGTGAGCTGGGTGTGGGCTATGTGCTCGAAGCTGGTCTGCTACGGGTGGCTTCATCGCTCGTGGGGTGGGCTCGCTGGGGGTGCTTTCGCCGCCTGGCGCATCTGGAGGTATTTCCACCTGGGGCCTCTCTTCCACAGGGTGTTCGAGGCGGCAGCTGCCGCGAAGGAGACGGCGGAGGAGGTGTCCGACTACTGGGGCCTCCTGCTGGAGGCCTGGGAGCTGGGGGAGTTGGAGGCCGTGCTGATGGCGGGTGGAGGCGTGATCTTCGGGGTGTTCTTGCTGAACTACGTCTTCCGCCAGTGGCAGGTCCTCTCGGACTCCGGCTCCGAGTCCGACGTGTCCGACGGGGAGCTGATCATGGGCACCGCGGTGCCCGACTCGGACGACGAGCCCGACGCGAAGGGTCTCTATGCGGAGCTGCAGCGTGGACAGGAAGAGCTACGGGCGGGTCTGATGGCGGTCGCGGAGGCGCTGAAGAAGGACAGGGCGGAGCCTCCGAGCAAGACTACGGGGGGTCACGTCGGGTCCGCCGATGAGGCTACTCCGACGACTGCGCAGCTGGACCAGTTCATTGCCAAGTTGAATGGGCATGAAGAGTTGGCGAAGAGCGACTCGGACCGTGGTACGAGAGGCAGTGGACGTGAGGCTGGCAAGTCCGCCTCGGACTCGGACTGGGAGCGGCTGCCATCATCACCAGGGTCTGGGTCAGTCTCGGACACGATCGCTCAGCTGGAGATGGAGAGTAAGAATCCTAGGGGCGCGCTCCTGCAGACCTTGAAGAGCTACGAGCACGTCCCCAACATGCGTGTGGGGGGTATCAGGACGCGGGTGGCCCCGACGGTGCTGAGCAAGATCTACAGGGGGGGCGGTCCGCGAAGCTCCAGGTTCAGGAGTGGCTGAGGAGCAAGGAGCTTTCAAAGGCTCCCATCGCCAACGAGATGCTGGTGCTGGCCATGACGTTGGACCGCATGATGGTCTCAGGCGACTTCAAGGGCTTGATCAACTCCCAGGCCAGCGAGCTGAGTTGCCTCAGGATGTATGCGATCATGAAGGCCTACGAGGGCGTGACGTGCGAACATGACTGGAAAAGGCCTCGCAATGCTAGCGGGGCAAAGTGGAAGTCCAAGGTCGACTGGTCGCTAGGTGAGGAGTACTTGAGGCTGACATTTCACGACACCATCGAGGACGCTCTCGCGGACGAGGAGGTGACGGACAAGTTGCGGAAGAGGGCGCAGATCCAGAAGCACTTGACGTCGGTGCGGGACGCAGCGCCCAGGGACGAGGAATAGGGGTGGCCCGAGGGTTCGTTTTGGAGTTGCGACCTTTGGGCAAGTCTCGCATTGCTGTGCTCACTCCTGTGGATCTGTGCTGCGTGGGCTTCGTCAGCGGGGAGATCGTCAGGTCGAGGGTGGAGTAGACGGGGGGGCTTCCTCGGGCTCGCCGCGCTGACCCTCGCCCAACCGGTGTACGCTGGAGGGCGAGGCCTCTTTTGTTCAGGCCGTGTCTTGTATATCTCGGACTTGAACCGCACCAGTGCGCTCAACCTTCGTCGTGCTCCACGTGGGCAGGTGCTTTCTTTACGACGGCCTGATGATGATGGACTTCAGGGAGCGGGACCCTCTTCGGAGTTTGCCTTCTCCTACGGGCCCCCTGGCCACGCGAGCTGCGAGTTCAGGCTTTACGATTGAGCAGCTGAGGCTAACCTGGCTGCGCACTTGTCGGACGGTTCGGGCTCTACGGTCGCTGGCGGCGGGGCGTGTTGGGGCAGACGATGGGCCGACTGTCCCGAGCTCGTGGGCGGACGCGACGGGGCTCCAGCGCAAGGTGGTCTACGACATCTGGGATCGCCGCGCCTCTCTCGGGGCGTGGGGGGGCATCAACGACGGCAAGGCGGTGCTTCGTCGTCTGTGGGGGTCCGACAGCTCGGGCTACGCAGTGGGTGGAGGATGCGGCCACAAGCGGACTACATCTACTACTACGTTTATCAAGAAGGGCGACCTCTGCAGGATGGTGGCGGACCAGGTCTCGCTGCCGCCTCCAGGGGCCGCGGGCCTGTCTCTGACGGACCTCTCGACCACCGCGGCGCCATACCTAGAGCGTTTCGAGAGTCGGATGCTGGAGGATCCGAAGGAGGTGGACTGGGGGGGATACGATGGCATCAAGAGCTACTCCGATCCAGGTTGGAAGGATCGTCACACCAGGCTCACCGTGGCCATGAGGATGACGCGGGCAGG